TTTTTTTTTTAACTTTGTATTTATTTATTTATTTAATAACTAGAGGCTATAGTTTACATGAAGGTTCTCTCTTTGCATTATACAACTGACATATTCATTGTAAGTCCCCATTAAAATGAGCAGTTTGGCCTAGGAGATCACAGGCATCTCTGCCCACTTTTACTCCATTCACCTGCCATGTACACTCATTCCTTCCAGATGCTGGACCACTTGCTGGGGCAACATAGGGGAACTGAAGTGCCAGCAAGCCTGACACTCCTGCAAAGAAGCCCTTTTAACTTCTGATCTAAAGCACTACCCTCCCATCCTCTCACACTAACTGAAACATTATGGCTTATCACTTAGCTTTTTCTAATGTTTGCATCAGAAGTATCACGTATCACAGCAATAAAAACATTGGTAATGAGTTCCATAGTCCAACACTTTGCCCCTCCTGAATTTCTCTATGTTGACTTCCTAGCACCAAGACCAAAAACCAGGCCCCCTCAGATCCAAGATAGATAGCATTATAACCAGTCAATCAGTTGCCGTCAGTTGACTCCAACTCATGGCGACCCTGCGTGTGTCAGAGCACAACTCCACTCCATCAGATTTTCAATGTTGACTCTTTGGAAGTAGATTGCCAGAACTTTCTTCCAAGACAGCTCTGGGTGGACTCGAACATCCATACTTTTGGTTAGCAGCTTAGAGCATTAACATTTGATAACATTCAGGCACTCGATTACAGCCCATGTAAATATAAAGGAGAAGGTAGGTATGAGTTCTCTTTAAGATATTTCATAACCATCAGTATAGATTCCCTTTGCTTCTAACAAGGGATAAAACAATGATGTCTCCCGAAAAAGATACTGCTGTTGTTGTTGTTGTTGTTAGGTGCCGTCGAGTTGGTTCTGACTTACAGTGACCCTATGTACAACAGAATGAAACACTGTCCAGTCCTGCACCGGTCACAATCCTTGCTGTACCTGAGCACATCGTTGCAGCCACTGTATCAATCTATCTCGTTGAGGTGCTTCTTTTTCACTGACTCTCCACTTGTTTGTTTGTTTGTTTGTTAATTTTTATCGTGATTTGGGTGAAAGTTTACAGAGCAAATTCATTTTCCATATAGCAGTTCATACACATTTTGTCTCATGAAATTGACTGCAATTCCCCACAATATAACTGCTCTCTTCCCACTTTCCTCCCTGTAGTTACTTCTTCCCTGTGTCCTTCCCTTCCAGGTACTCCTGCCCCCTGAGTTGTCTTCTTGTGCAAACAATGCCCTTCTGTTCTCTCATGATCGATCACTCTGAGTAGTGTATCTACCTGATATAAATGTTCAGCCCATATGCCTGTCTATAGTTTGGCTGGAAGCCACAGGAATGAGTTCAATTCCAGACCTGAAAGGTAGCTACAGTCTCAGGGGTCGCACCTGCTTTATTCGACTAGAAAACCTGGTCTTCTTTCATGATTTTGAGTTTTGTTCCATATTGCTCTCCCACTTTATTCAGCATCTCCTACATGGTGCCCCCTCCAAGTGGTTGACAGTGGCAGCCAGGCACTATCTAGTTCTTCTGGTCTCGTGGTCACATAGGCTGAGAATCGCATGGTCTACTTAGTTCCTTGGACTAATCGCTTCCATGCATCTTTGGTTTTCTTCATTCTTCTTTGCTCTGGATGAGGAGAGACCCATCGTTGCATCCAGACGGCCACTTGCAAGCTTTTAAGATCCCAGTCGCCACTTGCCAAAACAGGATGTGGAACAATGTTTTTGTGTAGTATGTTATGCCAATTGAGCTTGATTTGACCCTCCCCTTTACCAAGCACGATACCTTCTCCAGAGAATGGTCCACTCTGACAACATGACCAAAGTAGTGAGACAAAGTAACTATTCAAAACATTATCACAGGGCACTCACTGAGCCTGCCTCTTGGCATTACTTTCTTGGGTGCTGGCATTTTGCTTGCAGTTCCAACTCCCTGGGCCAACAACAGAAGTCCTATTCCCAGTAGATGGATTTACAGACCAGAGAAGAGCCACCAGAGGCACAAAGTCCTACAGTTAACTCAACCAGAGAGAAGATAATTTTTTCTCCAATGCCTGGAAACCAACTTTTTTTATTGAGAAGGTACCGATGGAGGAGATATTAGTCAGATGAAAATGACACAACTCTTCCCGTTCAAGGGAAAAAGCTCTTCTGAGAGTCAGCAGAGAAAAAGTGTAGCAGCTTCTAAAACGTGAAGCTGTCTGGGAAACGATGGCCCTCTAGCAGGTATTTCAGGGCAAAGTTTAGGGAGAGCATTTAGCAGTCAAGAGTGTAGAGGTACCTCTTGTCCCACCTGCTTTTCTAGGAAAAAGCTTGAGAATGCCTGAAGTGGGGCAACGAGGACTGCTCCCCACTCAACCCCCATCAGGATTTCTTGCCCAGTTAATGTGATTCTAAAGTTCTCATAAGTTACTTTAAAAAAAAAAAAAAGACCTGGTTTTTAGAATAGTTTAAGTTTATAGAAAAAGTGAGCAGAAAGTACAGAGTTCTCATATATCCCTCTCCCCTGTACACAATTATTTATTATGAACATTTTGCATTAGTGTGATACATTTGTTACAACTGATGAACCAACCCTGATACATTATTACTAACTAAAGCCCAGCTTACATTAGGAATCACTCTTTCTGTTGTACTGCCCTATGAGTTTAGACAAATGCATAACGTCTCACGTGTCCACCATTATAGCTTCATTGCCCTAAAAATGTGTTACGCCATCTAATCATTGTGCCATGCCATCTAATCATCCCTCTCCACCCCGAGCCCCAACAACCACTGATCTCCTCACTGTCTCTATAGCCTTGCCTTTTCCAGAACTTCAGAACACATGGTTCTTTTTCAGACTAGCTTCTTTTACTTGGTAATATGCATGTAAGTTTCCTCCATATTTTTTCATAACTTACTTTAGGCTAGGAACCAAGGTTAAAGAAGGGCCTGTAGACAAAATGCCTTTAGGTATCTTTGTTGTTGTTCTTGTTAAGTGCCGTCGAGTCAGCCCCAACTCATAGTGATCCCTCGCTGAGTTTCCAAGGCAGTGTCACTATGGAAGTAGATTGTCCAATCTTACTTCTGAAGAGTGGCTGATGGGTTTGAACTCCCAGCTTTCCAGTTAGCAGTCAAGTGCCTTAGGCACTATGCTTGGTCTCTTTATATCTGTGAAACCTTACTTACCAAAACAACATTTTAGCAAATGGATCTCTTCCTGCTGACATTCAAAATGTTATATGGATAGAGACAGGGCTTTTGTCCTCAAAGAAAGGCCCAGATGTTTCATGTTGGGGGATGTTAACAATATTCTTCAGGCAGCTGAGTGCTGGTACTATCACAAATCTTCTTGGCTTCCTCCCCAGAAAAGAATGTGGTTCCAGCTCTCCATCCGTTTATCCTCATTACAATATACCAGGGGCCAGGATCAGACACTGACATTGCTTTCATGCCATTTCTGGAGGCAGAGAAATACATATTTTTTTTGTCCAAAGTTGTTATGTTTTCTCTAGATGAGATTTCAAAATCCTCATCTCAAAGCTTATGTTGCTCTGGCAAGTGTTACCCTAGAGGTTTGTTTAGAGTTTCCCCATATTTGCAACTGAAGGCAACTATAATGTTACCTGCTTGCTGCTCCCTACCCCATCCCCAATTAAACATACGGTGTTTTGAGTGAATATTGCAAATTTAAATCTTAATACTTTACTACACGGTACTCTTGTAGTGAGGTGCCTTGAAGTGCTGACCTATAAATGGTTCCAGAAACCACCAAGCTGGTTACCTTTTTCCTCTTCTGGCCACTATTGGTGATCTTGTCTGGAGTGACACCTAGGTCTGCCAGTACCTTGGCAATTCCTCTGGCATCTACTCCACAGTTGGGGGCAACATTTGTCTCACATCGACGGTGAACGTTCATCTTGCAGACTGTAGGAGACATGGAGGAGACACTTTCAAATACTCATGCCCTCAGACATGACCTTTTTTCTGATAATAAAAGTAATACATGCTCATTCAATGGAATTTCAAAAAATGAAAAATATAAAGAGAAAAACTTAAATTACCCATCATCCCACCACAAAGAAATACAATTATTCACCAGATTACCATGCAGAGGTAACCACTGCTAACTTTCTAGTTACTTCTTTCCAGTTATTCTTCCTGTATATACTACATATGGATAAATAAACAAATTCCACATTTCCTTCCAGGGAGTTACAAGGTGTGAGGTCACCCGCAGAAGGCAATTAGCCTTTATTTCTGGTTCTTTTGAGCTGTACCAACACCTGAGGCTATTGAACAGAGGCTGAACAGACCAAGAAGGACCATCTAGGAGCTCAATGCTGACTAAGCCTCAGGGGGCATGATGTAATCTATCATAGAGAGATAAGTGGGGCTGATAAAAGTCTTGAGTCCTGAGGCTCAAAGGAGCTTCCTGGTTGGTGACCATGCACAAGAGAGGGTAGTGTGTCCCTCCTTGGGACTTGGAACCCCTACACTGCACCCTTCCCAGACCTCACTCTATATGTGTCTTTATTTATATCCTTTTTAGTTGTAATAAAATTTTAGCCCTAAATACGGTCTGTTCTCCACGAAATTCTGTGAATCAGTCCTGTAAATTAACAATCCCACATGATCAGTGATCACCAGCAGGGGCAGATGTCTGCCGGTTTGGCAGTTTGAAGGAAAGTGACCTTCTAATGTATGAGCTCTGACCTAGTTCCGGTTGCCTGGGGCCTGAGAACTGCTGTATGGAGAGCTGGTCTTGAAAGACAGGGTCTAATTTGTGAGTTCTGACCTAGCCCTGGTTGGCTAGGGCTGGAGAGAGAGAGCATGCCATGTAAGCAGCAGGGTGACAAAAATGGAGAAGTGAGAGGTTGAGGGCTAAATTCATTTCCACATTTTGGGGATTGGATTCATGCTGATCCTTACAACATGGTTAGCAATGAAGGTGGGATTTACTCACTCTGTTCCTGCTTAGTACAGGTGCAGAACACGGACCATAAAAGAACCTGATTGTTTATCTGGATTCTGGACCCAAGTAAGTCACATGTATACATTCCACCCTATTACTCTCATAAAGTGTTGCTATCACCGAGAGGGGCATGCCTGTCAAGATGCTCATCTGAAAATGAGCCAATTGAATGAGGTGGCCTCCAAGGCTCCTTTCAGATCTATACTCCCATTTCAAAGGAACAAAGCCATGCTTGAATGTCTTTGTTTAGCCATGTCATTCAGTTGCCTTGGTGTAGCACATCAAAGGTAAAAATATAAACTGTTATTGGAAAGAAATCAGGGAGGATGGGCCCTGAAGGACCTGATCACTGGCCTGGGGGAGGGGACAGCACAGATCCCCACCCGAGGCTTGGAAAGAGTTCAAGTGAGCAACTGAGCCCAATAGACTCAAGGGGCTAAAGGCTGGGGAGGCTTAGGTGGGAATACTTTCTTAGACAACACAAACAAGAAAGTTCTACCACAGCCCAGCCATGGTGCTCACTTGAGAAAATGAAGTATTCCTAATAACGGCCTGAAAATCCTTAGTCTGAAGATAAAACTGGCAGAGTATCAGTGAGACCAGAACCCCACACAACCACATTCTGCTCAGAATTCTCACTCCCTCTCCCCTCAGCAACAGATGCCATTTGACACCAGTCACCTTACCTGCTCCTGCCCAATGACCCCATGAAAACCCTCTCTCTGCCTCTTCATGAGTTGGGTGACAGAAAGAACAAAAATAAAGGAACCAAATGAAGACAATTTCTTAGGCAACTTGCCTACATAACTTAAACACTGGCGCCCTCTGGTGTCGAAATGCCAGACCTGTCCATCCAATAAAACAGCTTTGAGTGACAAATCAGTAAAGTAGAAACAGTCTTTAAAATCTTCCCTCATTACTTTTTAAAATTCTGCTGTTTCCTAAGGAAAGCTATGTAGTTGTCTTCATATGTAAAAATAAAGACAAAACAAAAAAATATAATAATACATCATTAAAATGGATGTCATGAGGTAGGTGGTGCCTTTGACGTGCTTTGAGAGTCTGGAGGTATGATGGCAAAGCTCTCCAAGGAAGAAGAACTCAGAGATAACACAGGCAGACACCAGGGGAGCTGGGCTTCAGGATGCTTGTGGCCACCACAGGGAGGCTACAGGCAAGTAAAAGAAAGTGGATGTGCCATTTGGAACTAAAAGAACCTTCAGGTTCATTCACATTAAAGCCACTTGTTTTGGATTTGACTTTGACTCATGGCCACCCCATGTGTGTCAGAGTAAAACTGTGCTCCATAGGTTTTTCAATGCCTGATCTTTTGGAATTAGATCACCAGGCCTTTCTTCTGAGGTGTCTCTGAGTAGATTTGAACCTCCAACCTTCCAGTTAGTAGCTGATAGCTTAACAGTTTGGACCACCCAGGGAATCCTCATTCATATTAACATTCACATTAACAGGGGCCAAACCCCTGCCACATCTCATTAAGGAGCCTGGGGCATTAGCAATGGGTTGTCAATCTACTCAGCCCTGGATGACCTTTTGACAACTTCTCTTTCGAGATTGACTCTTTCTCTTTCTTTTTATTTTGGTACCATGAACCACCACTATTTATTTCCAAAACATTTTTATCACCCCAAATAGAAACTCTGTACCCCTTAAGCAATAAGCCCTTAATCTCCTTTCCTTCCAGCTACTAGTAACCACTAATCTACTTTCTTTCTTGGTAGATTTGCCTATTCTAGGTATTTCAAGTAAGTGGGACCATACAACATTTGTCCTTTTATGATTGACTTATTTCTCTCAGCATAATGATTTCAAGGTTCACCCAGGTGGTGGCATGCATCAAGACTTATTTCTCTTTATGGTTGTATAATAGTCCATTGTATGTATATACCACATTTTGCTTATCCATTCATCTGTTGATGGATGCAAGTGGTTTCCATCTTTTGGCTATTGTGGATAGTGCTGCAATTGGTATACAAGTATCTGTTTGAGTCCCTGATTTCCAGTCTTTCGAGTATTTACCAAGGTAAATATATATACTGAGCCTCTTAATGTTCATTTTCAGTTGCTTTTACCAGGATGCAGTTATGATAGGAAGAATCAGAGGAGCTTTGCTAGGGATTCTTCTAAAAAGATATCAATAGTCTATTGTTACCCAGTTATGCATCACATGTTTGCAGAGCACCTACTATGCACTGGGTGGAGCAGCAGCAGCAGATACATTGTCATGACAGATCAGGGTTCGGGAACACTGACCTTCATCGCCTATGTTGTTGTTATATGCCGTCAAGTAGCACAGTCTATGTTTCTCTGGGAGACTGTTTCTACTTTCCCACCTTTTTTTTTTTTTTTTTTTTTCCTCACAGTGTTCTCTCCCCTCCCCTCCCACCTCTGGCAACCAACAAAGAAAGCTTCCCTCCACATATAAACCTTTACTTGACCCTCCACAACAATGAACTAATACTATATTTGTCCTTCTGTGATTGACTTATTTCACTCAACATAATGTCCTCCAAATTCATCCATATTATGCGGAGTTTTGCAGACTCTACATTATTCTTTAGTGCTGCATAGCGTTCCATTGTGTGTATGTACCATAGTTTGGTCATCCACTCTTCTGCTGATGGGCATGTACGTTGTTTCCATCTTTTTGCTATCAAGTGTCTATTCATATCTTCTGCCCATTTTTCAATTGGATTTTAATTCCTTTGCTATTGAGGCATTGGAGTTTTCTATAAATCTTAGAGATAAGTCCCTTGCCAGATATGTAATTATCTGCAAATATGAATTTGTTGCTGTCATTTTTGTTATGTGCTTTTTCATGGTGTCAATTTCTTTGTTTTATATAATTTTCTATGCTGAGCTCGTCCTGTTTATGAATTGTGTTATCACTTCCTTCGTTGCTATTGTTTTAGTATTTGCTAAATATTTGTGCTGGTCTTCTTTTTTATTTTGATGTGAAGGTTTATCATTTTTCTTTGGGGTTACCCTGTGATTTATAGTTTTCTTCCCTAGTTTAGAACAGTCTGTTCTGTCTTGTAGTTGTCTTGATTTCCCTATCATCTAGAAGTTCTGTAACGACAGTTTTTTTCCCTCTTTTTGGTTTGCAGTTGTCCTCATTTGTCAATTGATATCTCTTGTTCCCTATTTATAATATTGTAGGCTTATTTACTTTGGATATTTCCATAGCTGGGTTGGTTTCTGGGTTATATCATTATGTGTGTCAATGGTCAGTTGTTTACTGTTGTTGCACCCTTTAGCATCTCTTGTAAGGTTGGTCTGGTTTTAACAAATTCCCTTAATTTCATAATTTCACCATCATATTTGAGTGACAGTTTTTCTGGGTATATAATTCTTGGTTGGAAATTTTTCTCTTTCAGGGTTTTATATATACAATCCCATTATCTTCTCACCTGCATGGTTTCTGATGAGAAATCAAAACTTAGTCTTATTGGTTGCCCCTTGGAGGTAACTTTTGGTTTTTCCTGTGCTGCTTTCAGGATTCTTTCTTTGTCTTTGGTTTTAGTGAGTTTGATGATGATATGTCTGGGTGATTTTCTTTTGGGGTCTATCCTGTTTGGGGTCCATTACACTCCCTGAATGGATATATTCTCATCTTTCATCATACCAGGAAAATCCTCTTCCAACAAATCTTCGACAATTTTCTCTGGTTTTATTTGTGTCTTCCTGTTCGGAAATTCCAATTACATGTAAGTTATTCCTTTTGATGGTATCTCACATGATCCTTAGGCTTTCTTCATTTGGTTTTGATCTTGTTTCTGATTGATCCCTTTCCAAAGAAGTATGGAGGTATTTGCCTTCAATCTCACTAATTCTGTCTTCCATTGATTGAATTCTATTCCTTTGCTCGTTCAATGTGTTATCTATTCCTGAAAATTTACTATTAATCTTCTGGATTTCTGTGTGTAGATTTTGT